CTGTAAATCTGGTCGCTAAATGCTGTCAAGTACAGATGAATATAGGCTATCAGATTACTCGTGGCTGATAAAATGTCACTTTCGAATCTCGAACCAATCATCTTTAACGCCATTACTGACTAGAACTCATTGGATTCTTCGAATTTAATACCTTTTTTTTCCACTGGATATTTCGACGTGGTATGAAAATTGCATCATATCCAGTCCAGACATAACTTAATGTCTCACCGTTCGATGAAGTAAAATAGTGCGCGCAATTTATTATTCATTAATTCACGAATCCATTACATTTAGATGAAATTTTTTGCAGAGGCAGTAGCTTCACTTCACATACGAATTTGTTTCATTTAGTAAACGACAGATAACAACAATTTGCTTTCGATGCATATTTAAGAGCATTAGATTCCATTACACCTGCACGCACTTTTGCAGAAAACATCAAATGTTTCGCAGCCAACAAAATTTTTATTTTCAAGTGACACTAATATGAATTTTTAGTCTCTTTCAATTTTGTCCCATTTAAAGCATCGTAAACATAAAATCTGTCATGGAAATGGACGAAAACTTTAATGTTCGAATGTTTAAACTGAGATGAAAATTTTGATTATTCGGATTCGTGGGATAATTTTATAAACGAAAGTGCTTTCTCAATCAGCAGTTACTTATGGATATAATTAGGAATCAGTCCACTGACGAGGGAATATTCTACGTTGAAACTCAATGGTACGACGAGACCAGCAATCGAAGCAGCGAGTTCATAAGTTACTGCTGCTCTTCATGGATGAATGACAAAATATGCGATGTTCAGTATTCCCGAGTTGAACATCAACAGTTGAAAGGGCACGAGTACTAAGAGAGTGATCATAATCGCAATATTCATCGTAATCAGTGGTTGAAAGTGGATAATTTCACATATTAATCATGCTGTTTTGTTAAGTTATTGAGAATTTTCAGTTGAGAACTTCCAATGAATGGTGAACACTGCAAAATTCACTATTCTTCAGTTGGCAGCATCGCTGAAAAGTGCACGGGCGGGTTATAACGATGACCGTAATTGACCTGATAACAGTTATATCCATACTTCTGAAGCTAACACGAGAAGTAGTAAAGATAACGGAAATCAAAATAATCAATAAAGCTGCTAGCAGTGATAACAGTCATGATAATATTGATATCAGGTCAATTACGGTCATCATTACAACCCACTCGTGCACTTTTTAGCGATGCTGCCAACTGAAGAATAGTGAATTTTGCAGTGTTCATCATTCATTGGAAGTTCTGAACGGAAAATTCTCAATAACTACTAGAATACGTACGTAGTCACTGTTCGCTATATGCTGATGAAGCTAAATTCAATTCGTCACCTATAATCCAACCACTGTGAGGTCTCCTTTGCAGGAATCTATTCAAGAAGTTCACAGATGGCTAGAAGCCTGGCAGATGGAGCTGTCCATCGACGAATGCTCCGTTCTGTACATTGGGAACCGTAATGAAAAAGTTTAGTATAACATAGGCAATCATGTTTTGAAAAGTACTGATA